TTTGCTTTTTTATTTTCTGCTGTTTTTACTGAGTTCCACATTTTACAACACTTTTCCCCACCCACAGTTTCTATTCTCTGAATGTTCACTGTCCTTCAGCTATTTATTGTGAGTAATTAACATAATTATGAGTGTTTTCTTCCCCAGTATGTTTTATAACAACATGTTAACAATAATACGAGGCCTGGGTTCCCCTGTGATGCTTAAGTTTGTTAGCTGGAGGCATTGGCTTCACTCATTAAACATCTCAAGAATTTGGCACAGCTAACTCTAACCATCCAGGCAAAGTCTGGTAGGAGACATTTAATAAAAAAACCAACAAAATACAACTAAGAGTCAGACAGGAGGACAAGAGGTAATGTTGAAACTGCAAAACAGAGTATGAGATTATAATTTTATTCTACCTCATTTATAAATAAATATGGGTGCAAATTAGGTTTCTGAGGCAATAACAAATGAAAAATGGAGGCACTAACCCTTTCTTCCAGCCACTGTTGTCTGCTCCCTGATAGAGCACTGAACAAAAATTCAATGAAATTATTATGCAAATAGAGAAATCCAGCAGTCAGCAGAGGCAGTCTGAGCAGAGCAGAAAAGCTCACTGGGATTCCAGCCTCCAGAGTGCTCACAAAATTCCTCATGGCCACAGGAAACCCACAGTGCTTTGGGGTTTTTTAACAAATTCTTCTGCTAACACACTTTGTATAAAGCACATGCCATTGGTCTTCAGGGAGAGATTGTGTCGTGCAACGGGCAGTAAAGTCAGTTCAAGGATATTTTTCATTCATGTGGTACTCATAAACAATTCCCTATGACTGAATATATGGCCAAAAATCCAAACTAAACTTTACTAAAGAGACACGTAAATATAGGTTTTTAATGAAAGAAAAAGAAAAATATGGCTCACTGATCCTTCATTGGAGAAAGTGGATGCTTTAATAGGGGTTAATCAATATTTACTGCCTCCAGTAGCACTTACAGCTGTGTAATAACAGCAGTGTAAACAGGTCAAACGAGAATAAGGCCATTTAGTTGGAAAAACTGCAGGATCAGGCCCTTAAGTGTAGGCAGCCAAACACATTTTCAAAACATAACTTCACTTACAGAAGTTAAATTGAAGTGACTCCTGAAAAGAGGATAGTTCAGGAATAAAAACACAGCTCTGCAGGAACAAGTGCTAAGAGATGCCTACAAAGATATCTGATGGACACGTCTCTAAGGAAGGAAATTTTTACAGAGGGAGAAGAGCAACTCTTTCAATGAATAGCCTCCCACACTTCACAATATCTTCTCTTCAAATATGTCAAAGCAATACCTGGAATAGTTCTTCAGCAGGGATGTTGGACCCTCAATCCTGTCAGCAATAACCTCATTATTTTGTGACACAGTATGGTGGCATTTCCTTCTTGCCTTTTTAATCTTACTATACATTTTGGACCATTCTAAATGAATTCATATACACTGTGGCCCTGTAATACATTTTAGTATCTTTAGAATCTCACATAGATTGAACTCATTAACTGCATAAATGGCAAACATGGTAAAAAAAAACCTCAGGGGAATTACATTTCTAAAGAGAAATCTGTCTTCAAAAACAAAAAACAGGAGAGAACTGATTTTGAACTTATGAACACATCATGAAATTAAACAAAATATCTTCATCAAAAATCCAAGTTTGTAGAGAGGTGTCAAAATTAACATTTATTTAAAGGGAAAGACTTTGGAAAGCAACAGGTTATGCAGCAAAATTTCTTTCAATTGGCTGTGTAAGAACATGTCTGAAATAAACTAAATAGTTTATAGCAGTTATACCACTATACACCATTCAAATGCCATGCATGGATACATACTAAGTCTACCCAGGACTAACTAGATTTAACTATGAATCTTGAAGTGCTTCTGTATTCCCTCTCCAGATCAGGCAATACTGACAACAAAGATACCACAAGATACTCATGGCCAATGGAAGACAGCAAATTCTAAACTGAGTCTTTTCCATTTACAAAGAGTAAGAGAGATGGACACAAAAAATCCAATATGAAGAATAAGGAAGAGAGAAGTGTAGACTTCCAAAGCCAAATAAAATGACCAAGACAGGAAACTATTCTACAGCTTTTTCTCCAGTCAAAGCAGAAGCCCAGCTGAGTATATTATACGTGCAAGAAATAAGGGTATGAGCAAAATTTTGACAAGTGGGTTGATGGAATAAGATTGGATTTCCACAAAGCATTCAGAGCAGATGAGGTTTTGGATGAGCTTGCAGAACAGCATGATCTTTAAACGCCTTGTCAGAATGCCAAACCAGGATGATCACCCACTGAAAAACAACTTTCCAGGATATGGTACTAAAGACACAGAGAACAAAATCATTCCAAAAAGATTTTCATTAATTTAGCCAGAACAAAGTTAATAATCCATGACATAAATGTTTCTTTCTTTACTAGCTTGTTAAAAATGCTAAATTCTCCCCTATAAAAATATTACAGCTAGAGGCTGACAGACATTAGCTTATTCTTCTTCAAAGTCATTAAATAAATAATTAACCAACAATAGCTGGTAAGTTACCTTGACAACAAACACTTATTAATATGAGACTGCCCAAGGGAGAATGAACCAGGGATTTCCAAACTGTGGTGTTAATCAAACTACTTCAAAGCAACACAAAGACTCAGGGCTGGCAGGCGGTCACTGCCTCTGGTGGATTCATGCAGCCTGACACGGAGCTTGGAGCTACTGCAGCCTCTGGCAGTGGGGGCAATTTAGTGATGTACTTCTGTACAGCAAAAGGTCAAAACTATTTTTTGAGCATAAGAAAGGAAACAGAAAATTGGAAGGACCTGAACTGCAGGACCATTAATAACATGTTAGCCATACTCAGAAATTATTACAAGCCGTATGTCCACAAGGTGTTACATAAGATGTTCTGGCAAAGCCTATGACAAAAATGCAGCTGTGGAGCACTTCAGACACAACTGCACATCATAAAAGCATCCTGTATTCAATCTGTAGACACTTTAAGATAGCACAAGATACACTGGGGACAGCAAATTCGAGAGTTCTCACAAATGTCCTTCATCTTTCATGCCAGTGAGACTGGACATAAATGCTATGGACTCAGCTTCCAAAAGGCAAACATTTTACCTCTGAACTTCTTTACATCTCTTTCTTCTAGGTTCAGAGAGAAAAAGCTAATGGGTAAAGCATAACACTACCATACCATTCCCTTAAAGACAGTTTCTAAGGTGGTATAATATTTCTGGAAGACAAAAACTGAGAATGTTTTGCTTCTCAAAACTCACATTTGGGAATCAGCAGGAAGAGGGTCCTTTTTGAAGGGTCCTTAACAAAGAAATTTAGTAATTGGACACAAGGCTGTTTGTGCTAGCAAACTAGCCAATGTATTAGCAAATAAGAACTTGCTCAGCGGCCTGTCAGAGCTCTTCAGATGAGTCTCTGAATTAGATTATTCATAAACCAGCATAGGCAGTAATAGTCAAAATCCTGCTGTAATGGAAGATTGTTCCCCAATGAGTGATTTGTTGGTGCAGCATAGATAATTTTTTCATCACACTGGAAATTGCTTTGATCCTCTGAAATGAGCAGCTCTTGTTCTCATTACAGCATACCTCAGAGTTACTAACAAAGATCAAAAATGTTTCTTTCTTTCTTAGCCAAAACAGGCATAGACTTTCATTTATGCAGAAAGAATACACCAGTGCTCAGAACTACAGGATGTGTGATAGGCATTTCCCAGCCTTTGCCACTGCTAGGACAGAACCTGAGCCCGCAGAGGTTCTCTTCAAGGAGGAAAGGTCCATATCCCTCCCTTAAAGGATTTCAATCTCTGCAGCTACAATTTTTTAGTAGGACACAAGTTAAGTAAAATGAACGTCCCTACCCGTGTTTCTTGGGAAATCTTGACCCATTTTGCTTCCTGACAATCTTCTTCCTCTCCTGGTCTTCCATAAGCCTCACACCTTGCTCTTTAGAAGCTTTTCCAAGCCAGGATATGAGTTCTCTCTTTAAGGAACCCTCATCCTGCACCACCTTCCTGGCCAGGGTGCAGTAGTGCAGACTGCCAACAGCCCCCTCCCCACAGCCTAAACAAGCCCCTTCTAGACTCACCTACCCACACCTGCCAACCCACAAGCTCAACCAACGTGTCCTCACTCAACTCATCTCAGCTTAAGACTAAATTTTCGATCAAGTTTATAGTTTTATCCAACACCTTCAACAGTGACACAAACAAGATCCTTAACTGTGCCTAAAGTAAACCAAAACACACAGAGTTCCCATTGAAAGTCTAAGGCCTTTGTTTGTAAATTGTTGTACTGTCCTTGGAAACAGCACTTCAAATTATATTTAAATTACGGCAAGAAAAAATTCAGATATCTGGGATAAATTGCCAAGAAATTTCAAGATGCTGCTTACATCAGAGTCAAATCTGTTACCAAAATCTGGAACTTGAACTAGTAGTGCATATTTCACATGCTCAGTCAATTATCAACTGCTGGAGACTTCTGAGACTATTGAAATGGGACAGATTGAATACATCAGCTGGATTCAGTCCATTTAACTAAATATGAAATGCTCCACGCTCGATACCTATCAGAGTTCTGTTATCCTCCCAGATTAACTCTTTCACAACAGAGGTCTAATAAGCATAAACATAATAATCAAGCAGTAATAAATAGCACAAGACTATGAAGGCACAATATTTTTCAAATAAGAAATATTCTTAAGAGAATGAGATATGAAAAATCAGCTCTGAGTTAGTGCAACCACTTGCTGGTACTTCATGGACATAACATCACACCTAAAGTACCCAGTCCCGGGAAATAAAATAAATAATTAAGTCTGGAAAAGTTCACCACAGGTTACACCTCCAGATTTATCTCAAGTGTACTCATTTTCTCCTTCCTTTGAGTTAATACAGTCACGGCAAACTATCGCATGTCAAATTCCTAAGATGGACTTTTCTGCTGGGTACAGCTACTGACCTGCAGCATCTGAAGGTAGCCTTCCTGTGGGTCGCACAGCAGGGACGATATTCGGTGGTTGTTCCTCATGCACCTCTGGCTGTTGTCCCTTGAGAGAGGGAAAATTTGCCGGATCACTGTCATCCTCCCCAGAGCACTATGCACCAACTCTAATATCTCATTATCAGTGATTTCCTGTGAATGGAGACACAGTCTTGTAAAAATATGCATTTGTCCAGACATTTTATATCCTCCTTTTATTACTGGAGAAATGTTTTCAAAAAGACAATAGGAGGAAAACATTACAGAGGCACATGCTTAGTCTAGGCCAAATGTTATTATTTTGTTTTTAATAACAAAAATGCTATTTTTTTATACATCATCTGAAACAAAAGAGAACAGCCTAACACAGTACCATCTATCTTGGCAATACTAAAATTCTGCATATACAGTTCCTCATAGAAAAGCACCAAGATGGTTTTGACAGGTTTCTAAATAAAAAACAAGAGCCTTGAAATAAAATTTATATAGAAAGAATTCTTATTTAACAGACTAGAACCTCACTATATCCTCAGGACAAAATAACAACTGGAAAACATAGCAGTCTTCAGGAAATATGGCTCTTACACCTTGAACAATGCTATAAGTAAGCACTTTTCCCACAAGAACAGTAGATCATTTCTGCAGACTAATCCTGGTAATGACTCGAGGAAGCCTTTTGAGGTTATCTGTACTAGGAAACAAAAAATAGAAGAAATTTCATGGAAGGATTTGACACATTTAGGAACACCAGTTTCTGCACACAGAATAAATTGGATAAGATACAAGGAGATCTAAAGGACAGGCCGCTCTTCATTCCAGGCTTTGCACTTTCTAAAGCTTCTTTGCAGACCTTCACATGCCTTAGCCTCCTAATCCATCCTGGGACAGGGTCTGCATCTACTGCTCTTGAATGGGGACTGAAGCCAACTCAACTACATATTTTTTATTTGAAGAAAAACACAAAACCAAAACCTCTTTTTTTCACCCCAGGAAAATCACAGGGTTAGCAGATCCTGAAATCATATCAAAGGTGCAGCTTGTGATGTTTTCTCCTGGCAGGAGTTCACCGTGAGGAAACACAGACACAGTGGCATTGCTGTCTGCACTCATCTGCCGAGCACCTGCTTTACATCCCAGCTCCTCACCACAGCCACCAGCAGCATCTGGAATTCACATCAGCCCATCTCCAGCACAGGTGGACCGTCCCAGCTGGGCCAACCCAGTGCCCAGCCTGTATAGGGCTGTCTCAGCCCCCTGCAGGGCAGGGGACCTCAAATTATTCCTGTTGCTGCACTTAGTCAGCAGGGCCCACACCTTGAGATGTGTCATCAGCAGAAGTGAACTTGGCCCCAGACATTTAACATTCAAGAAAAATTTTTTTTTGTTTTCTTGCCGTTTTCTCTGTCAAGCTGTGAGTGAAATGACCGTGGGGTTATTATAATTACTTGTTACGGTTGACTAGTACTGTAGCTTTGGCTCAGGTTAGTCCTTTGCCAGTTTCCCATCATTTTTTAGGACCATGAATTTTTAACTTTGCAGAAGGTGAAATTCATTTCGTTAATGACAGACCAACTGGTGTGGCATGAAAATAGTAAATCAGAAAATAAATATATTCTTATAAAGGAAAAGGTTTTGAAGCTTAATAGAAAATGCTGGGCAGCACCTGTAGCCTTGCAGTCAGATACTGAAGCAGACCCACAAGCTCTACAGATTTCTCCAGGCTGCTGTCTTGGATTTCTCTTTTGTGGAGCTGGGGGGTTGTTAAACCACACCCCATGCCTAAAGTGCAGTCAGAGGGAGAGACAGTTTTATGGCATAGCTTTAGCTCTTAACCTCCTAGGCTGCATCCCTTGGCAGGCACACTCAGACCGAGTGGCTGGAAACAGAGAAAAAAAAAAAGGAATCACAAATCATCCAAACCTTCAGTTCAGCTCACACCAAACACATTTTGTGTTCTCTCCAAGTGATACACAGCCTTTCAAAGATGTCTCATAACCTGTGTCAAAATGCTTCACCTGAGACTTTTAAGCCTATCCGTAGCAGATCAGAACTACTTCCTCCATGGGATTTCCAGAAGTAAGGCAGTAAAAGAGATCAGTTATGATAGGCACATTAACCTAGGTTCTTCCCACTTATCTACAGGCACCAAGTGAGTCCTGAATGTAAAAGCCATGTCACTATCAGCTAAAGAAAAATGGGAGCTTCTGGAGGGAATTTCAGAACCTAAACTTGGTTAAATCTAACCCTGAAAGTGCCACCTTTTTCTGTGTAACCAGCTGACAGTAGCTAAATCCTTCAATGCCTCAGTTCAGCATATAATGCCAAGGGGAACAAAGCTCTTGGTTTGGTTTTTTTTTTTTTTCAGCTGATGGATATTTATATCAGCAAACAATCCGTTCCTTTTTAGAAATGTTAAAGCACAGAGAAAAGAGGTTGCTGTTAAAAGTGCTGGGAACAAAAGGCCTATGTCTGCATTTTAGAGCTGTTCTCTAAACACCAAAGGTAACTGCAGGCCCTCCCAAGCCAGTTCGCAGGGTGGTACAGCCACAGCAGCATCCCAGGGCACCCGGGCAGGTCCAGGAGCAGGAAAGCATGGCTGAGTGCCTGACTGCAGAGGAGAGCAGGTCACAGCCATCCTGCACTAGCCTTGCTATGGAGTCCCCAAGGGGGAGTGTTCCTCCCTTCCTCTTGCCTGGCACTGGAAGGCCCTGCAGGCTTGTCTCCAGAAAACTTACAGTCCTGGCTTAGTAGCACGTGAAACCTTAAATGTCACACGCAGAAAGGTCACCTGTGTCCCAACTGAGATAAATACAGGGAAAAAGAAAAAAAAAAAAGAATAATAGCAAGCCAAAAACAAGGGAAAAGAAGTATATGTGAAGTTCATTCTTACTTTTACACTCAATAAAATAACAGCATACATCCAAAAAGTAGTTCTAAAACTTGGAGTCACAAGGGAGAACAGATTTCACGCTGGTCTTACAATTAAAGTCTATTCATCTACTTATTTGTTTAAAAGTAATGTGTTTCCTTCCTGCCCATGATAGAAAAAATTTCTTTACACTGTGAAACGGAGCGAATTATTTAATTTGGTTTTTTCCCCCAAAACAAATGCATCCCAAATTTCCAATTTCATTCTTGGTTCATTACCCAGCACACAGTTATACCATTTATACCATGCATGAATGCTGTATTGCAAGTAGAGCTTATCAGCTGGTTGGGCCAGGCAGATATTCCTTGCAAAATTCTGTATCAAATGCCCACTTTCTGGCTTTCACGATCCCATGATGTTGCTACTGCATTATAGGGTAAATATTTACAGATGGTGAGTTCTTGCTTGTTTCAGGGATATGCTTTGTGCAAGGTTAAAGAGCCCAACCCTCGATTACATGGCACCTATAACATTAGCTTGCCCTAAAGCCTGTAAATATTGAATTTCTTGAATGAGGGTGGAGGGACAAAAGATGTTCTCATATCTAAGTATTCTCATCCTCATTTTTTTTCCTTTAGTAAGGGAAAGACTGGCTATTCCCAACATAGCAGGGAGCACTTAAATATTTTGGTAGGCAGACATAAGTGTAAGACTGACTATTCATATTCACCCAGGCTAATATTAGTTCTCACCACCTGATTTAATGCTTAGAAGATATTCCTTTAAGCACTCTATTTTTGTTCATGTGGCGTATTAATAACAAATTATTCTGGCATTATCTATTTATTTGCACATAAATATTGGCTATTTGGGGAATTCGTTTATCTGTTTATTTATCTGCACACAAAGAACTTCAGTTAGTGTGCAATATTTAGTCATACTGCTCAGGGGAATATTTAAATCCGCTCCAGTTGTGCTCAACTATCATAACACAAATCGCAAAATGAGACAATTATGTTTCACATTACAGTCCCTATTTTCCTAGAGGTAATGACAGAAAATTATAAATTTTAATGACATTAATAATTTAAATAACCAAAATATATTTCCAGAAAGCATATCCCTGAGAAAACTGGAGGATTAAACTGAAAGACAATGAGGACAGGAATGCTCGTGGACACAACTTACAGATTTATATTTGGGTTTTTTTCAGTAGTATCAATGCTGTTTTTTGGGTTATTCTAACTCCCCTCAGTGCACTATTTGCATCTGAAAAGGGACACTTGTTGAAAATCCAGAAAACATTATTCAATTAACCATTAAAAAAAAAAAATTCACCCCAGCTCACCCTGTACATAGATTTATTCAACAGTTACATCATACTGGCTTCTCTGCATCCCACATGAACAGAAACAGATATATCCATAAAGATTAATCCCTTAAGGAAAGGGCACTATCCATTCTTCACTGCACAGAAAGCATTCTAATACAAGTCTGCATGATCACCTGTCCAACTTCCATTCTCATTGTCCTCCCATACATCCAACATTACCTCACTTCTTTTTACCCAATGCTCCTAAAAATCTCTACAGGGATTTATTTATAATTTAGTTGAATTAGCTCTATTTCTGGATATAAGGACTCTGCACTGGGTGTCCAGATGTCTTTCTCAGATCATAGCGAGTACCTACACAGTAAAAGATCCCTGATTTAACAGAATATTATTCTAAACTAAAAATTAATTATCTCAGGGGAAAAATAATAAAAAACAAGCAAAGTGATAATAAAAGCTGGACAAAACTGAAAAAAATCCAACATTAATTTTAGAGTGGAATTCACTGATAAAACAACTCATCAAAACTCATCTATAACCTTGCTCCTAGCTGACTAAAACTGCAGATTAATTCTAAACCCTAATTTATTTGAGAGTGATGCAGGTATACATGCAGTACACATTCATATGTATATCTTTCAAACATATACAAGTAAAAAAAAAACAACAAAACAAAACAAACAAAACCCCACAGAAAAAAACACATACTTTTTTTTGTGAAAATAAATAAATAAGATACAAATTCTGCAGTGTCAAAGAGAGCAGGGAAGCAAGATTTCCTTAGGCAGGTAATAAATATAGAGTATCTGGAATACAACTGGAATAAATTGTAATTGTAAATTGTTACATTTTGCATTGAAATATGTCATTTTCTGAAGGCTAAGAAATTTTCACAGTGTGTTGCTTGTATTTTTATTCAATTTTTTTACTTTTTTTCCCTGATCATTTTTA